TCCGGCTAATATCCTGACTTTGCTGCTAATGCGAAACATTGTGGAGATTTCTTTGGCTTCTGTATTGATATACTCCACGTAGGAAGCAGGAACCTTTTTAAAGAATTTAGTTACGTCCTCCGTAACTCTCTTTCTGTACTTCCTTGGGCTCATTGCATATAATTTCTTCGTTTTTTTTTATAATTTTTTTTAGTTTTCCTCTCCGCAGCAACTCACCCATTACTTCAGATGTCGAATGAAGGCATTTAAGCTCTTACGTTGCCCCTGATTAATTCGCTGAACAAATAAACCACTTGACGAGACTTTGGCGGTCGAAACCACGGTAGTGTTCCGATCAGCGTTTTTATCTTTTTACTATATATATATATATATATATATATAATAAAAAGGCTTAAACACTAATATTCCATGGTCATAATTTATTCCATTAATGATTCCATTATTCCATTTATTAATGTATGTGTATGCACCTATGTATATATATTTATATATTTTGCATATGTATGTGTATATTTACCACTAATATTATCTATCTATCTATATATATATATATATATATATATATATATATAGAGAGAGAGAGAGAGAGAGACAGACAGACAGACAGACAGACAGAGATTCAAAAATTTTTCATTGAATAATATAAACATATTATGTCTATTAATTTGTATACTGACCATTATCAGTTGTCTAATCAGTTTCTTGATGTTAAGATTAAATTCGTCAAGATAGAAGTTTTTTTTCTGCCCAAGTACTTTCGAACTTTTCCGAGATTATCTTCAGGGGTAAATTACAAAGACAAACGTATTATAACTGTGATAAAAGCTGTATTCCGATGTGATGGTGATTTAAAAAAAAAAAAAAACACGCGAACGCGCTCTGTAATTATCTTAAAATTTTAAATTTATCCTTTGTAGTTATGGATTTTTTTGTAAAACAGAGAGATGACCGGGAATTGGTAAAAATGTAAAATGGCATGATATCTTATATGCATTTTAATATGTTGTTGCTATATTCGTAATAAATTTTGTTGAGTGTTGGTTGGTTGCTTTTGTTATAGAGGGCCTTGAGAATTTGAAGTTTTTGTTTATTATTTTCGTGAAGTATATTGATATTGTCAGCAAGTATTTCTCTGCATTGTGAAGGTGAACAGGGATGTTTTTTAGATGTGCAATAGAACTTGTATCCGACAAATGAAATGTAAGACGTCTTGATAATGTTGTGGTCGTCAAACCAACATGTGTACTTATTTTTTGTCATAGATACCATCTCCCAAAGTACATGATATAGAATGTTGTTCTTTTCCAAAACATTAGTTGACGGAGAAGTGTTATTGCGCAGGATTAAGTTGGTTGTGTTGTATAATCAGTTTAATTTTTTTTTTTTACTGGGATCAATGGGAAATATATTAGTACTTGTATATATTAGTACTTGTATATATTAGTACTTGTGAGATTTTTTAGGACTTGTTCATCTTGTTTATAGTTAGAATGCATTGGATTGAGGTATAGTAGGTTAATATGTTTAGGATTATTTAAGAAATTATTATGTTCTTCACACACACAAATCATGGTCATGGTGAATTCCACAATCCTTTCATTGGCAGTATAGTATGGGATTTGCTAGAGATACATACGCTTATGAATTTAGAGTCTGTCCTGTTATTTACCCATAGCTGAGAAGAGAACAGGTGGGTTCATGCCTTTCCCAACGGTATTTGTATATAAGTGAATATAAAGAACTCGACGGGAATTCAAAATCCCCCCCCGATTTCTCAATTCTAGTTATCAGTTATCTCCTGCTTAATTCCCCTCTCCAAGTTCTCCATTTCTTTAACCAGTTATTGAACTCATATTCTTTGGGTCCTGTCACTGAATCTCACCAACGCCTTTATCCACTGTGTCCTTGAGTGTGAGTTCAATACCTGGTTAAGGCAGTAGAGAACTTGGAGAAGGGAATTAACAGGAGATACCTGATAACTAACATCCATTAGACATGGTACGTGGAATTGGAACAGTCTACCCCAGTGAGCGAAATAAAGGGTTCAATCCGACATTCCAACCTCCTGAAAAAGGCCGGAACGTACAACAGCCGAAACGTTGTAATAAATATGTCAACAAAGATGAGGACAATAGTACGAATAATGAAAATAGTGTAAACTATTTTCATTTCATTTTTTTATCTTATTTTTAATCACGACATTCTGGAACAAATTTTCTTCCAACGCTTAAATATGAATAGCATGCATTGGAATAAAAATAAATAGATTTTATTGGGATTTGAACTCAGTCTCCATATGCAGGAAATTCATCTGTCACTAACTCTGTTTTAAGCAATTCGACTACTGAAACTTATAGTGATTAGAGCAGTTTCTTCATCAAATCTTCAAGAGTCTTTAATTATCCATCTCTGAAAGAATTGGATTTTTATTTCTATTAAAATAAATAAAAACAAAATATTATCGTTGTCGCTTTTATCTCATATACAAGAATTTCTTCTTTGCTAATTCCTTCTTTTATGATGATGATATTAATGACTATATTTATCGCCAACCTGCAGGTTCAGGACTCGAAGCTTCCAATTTAACCAAATCTGCTCCTATCATTCATTCCTTGTTGCCCTTTGGCTTTCTAAGAGTTGGTTAGAGGTGAAGGAAAATCAGAATACTAAGAAAGTGCCAATGGCGTGAATTTGTTTAATGCGAACCTCAATTTGTCAGAAAGTGAACCAAACATTTGATTTCATGACCTTTCGCTGCGGTACATATGGAAAGAGATGCAGAATCCAGTTATGAATCTGCAACGGACTGCCACTGATTCTACTATAATTTCGTGTGACGCCTTCTGTAGTATGTCCGTCATGCGTAGCCCTCTTCATCCGCTGTTTTAACCGTTGAGATTTTTTTCCACCGTTGGGGTATTTCGTCACGCTTAGTCTGGGCCCTCGTCTTTGACCTTGCCATCCAGGGTGGCCCCTACTAGGAGTTTAGAACTCTCAACAGCATTGTTCTCATGCAAGACCGGCCCCCACGACAAAAAGCGACCATTAGACGTACACACATAGAAACATACACGCATAAACACGCATATATATTTAACAGTGGGTGTCACAGTTCGTCATCAAATGTTGCAATAATGGCAATCATAGAAACAATAAATGAGAAAAGAATTAAAAGTATAAAATCATCATCAAATATATGAGAACATTCTTATTATTCTTGTTGTTATATATATATATATATATATATATATATATATATTCAACATCATATATATATATATTCCACATCATCCCTTGATAAGACACCGGAGGTGTTGAAACAAAATGGCTATTTTTGTAGTGATTTTATAACATACTAGCAGTATAGTCCCGGCGTTGCCCGGGGATGTAACAGTAAGAGATAGATCAAGTATCGACCATCATAAAGACTGAAAAATAAAATTGACAAAGATTATTGTTTAAGGCTGACGAACATGCATGTCTAAATTAGTTTTTTTTTTTTTTTTTTTACGAATTGGTCAAACCCAAACTCAAACAAAACATTGTTTTCAATCGTTATGAGTCTACCGATTGAATAGAATTTTATTATAAACAATTGTCTTGTAAATGGAATTTTTAAAGTATACTGAATGTAAAAATAAAAAAAAAAGCGCGCAAGACAATAAGAAACACTACCTGGCAAAAAAAGTGAAGTTTTGTTGAAATCGGTTGAAAAATGTAGGAAATCCGATCCCATATATAAACGAACAGACACACAAACAACCTGGGTTTTATAATAAGTATAACTCGATATGAGTTGCCCCCTTTCCTTCTCGCGATGCCTCTTAATCGTGTTTTCAAATTGATTTCGTGCAAAAACAATTGAGTTTTCCAATTTTTGGCGCTGTCAGAACCACCGCAATGTAGGAAATCCGATCCAATATATAAACGTACAGACACATACACACACACACACACACAACCTGGGTTTTATAATAAGTATGATTTATGTTATATTTTTAAAAAAATAAATAATTATATCTGCTCTACTCTGTATTGATCACTCTTTTAAGAATAGTAATAGTTGATTATTGGAATCCATTCCGTATACATCAATTATATACTTTATATATATATATATATATATATATATATATATATATATATATATATATATATATATATATATATTTTACCCATAATGCGTAGCTAAGGTTGCCAGTTGGTATAAATAACGAAATCAAATTGAGAATAAATTGACGAAAAAAAACTGCTTTGTCATCTACTTGATTAAGTTCTACTAAGTAAATTTCTCTGTTTGTTTTCTCTATTCAGGATGTGGATTATCATGGTTCTCCACAGCTTCCTGTCTTTTGTTAATCTCAGTAATACTCTCAGACTTGTGGCCTCCTATTATCTTTGTGATCCTACATCAGTGGGTTATCAGCTAGTTTTTTTTTCTGGTCTTCCATGCGTCGTGTAACTGACAAATTCTCCATTTTTTCTTTCCACGCTTTTATCTCCCCAAAGTGTCGGCCATTTCTTTCTGATCGATAACTGCAGTTTCTTTGCATTTTCTGTCAGCATTTCTCGGATGAGGAGTTATCATTATTTACACTAATTATATTCGGACTATTTTCCTCATCTTTGTTGTTATTATCACAACGTTTTGACCATTGTGCTTTTCGACCGTCATAAGGTTATGTTGATCCGGGTAACTTACGGGGATCGATATACATCTGATGAAGGCCGGAGGGCAGAATGGCCGAAACATTTTGATAACAACAACAAAGACGAGGACAATCGTAGTCGTTCTCTTGTTAAAACTTACTCATTTATTACATTTTCTTGTCTATAAAATTTTCGTCGTTCTTTGGCATACACGGATATCTGTCGTTTCATAAGTTTTCTTCGTCTGTCACAAAATAGTCCCGATTTCTCATTAGTATTAAATAGTATGAATATTAAATAATATTACTATTACATAGTAGTCTAGCTCTATTTGACCTATAGCATTATCACGCTGGAACACTGGTACTTGTACGATCACCGAAGTTAAGCAACCTCGAACTTGGTCAGTACCAAGATGGGTGACCGCTTGGGAATATTAGGTGTTGTAATCTTGGATGTGCAGTTCATGTAATTGATAAAGGCTCAGGTTTGGGTTCGTTATATTCGCTTACGTGGTTCGAAGAAGGATGACCCTCATTATGAGGGTCCATTTGTTCGACGCCATTTTAAAGCAACGATCTGAGAAAGTAGTTGTATACGGTTGAGAGTTGTGACATTTAAAATTTCTTGGACACATATTGAGAAAATAAGTTCTGGAATCTTTTTACCTTCACAGGATATATGATAGGCAATGGGGTTCGAGGCTAACAGTGAGTAGCATACGTAACTAGTTTGTGTAAATGGATGGCAGAAAAGGAATTGGGAGAAGTAGTAAAAAGACAAACATTGCTTAGAGCTACGAAGGATAGAAAGTTGTGGAGAGCCATGAGTGGTCACGACTTAAAAGGAAGCGGCAAAAAGAAAACAGACTTTTTCAGAAAGTAAAACTTTCTAAATTGATCATATCTTTTTTTTAATCTTAAAAAAACTATTTCCTTTATTTTGGATGGATTTCCAATTTTCTTTTCAAATTACATGTCCTATGCATTTTAGTTGTTACTAATGTTGAATGTCCTCACTTGATGTTGATTCTGTTTTTTGTACAGTTCTTTGTGATTCTGTAGCGCCAGTCGATAATGTTGGAAGAAGGATGACCCTCACTACGAACTGCAGGGTCCATTTTCTCGACGCCATTTCAAAGCAACGATCTGAGCAAGCAGTTGTATAAGGTTAAGAGTTTTAACATTTGTGACATTTGAAATTTCTTGAACACATATTAGGAAAAGCAGTTCTGGAATTTTTTTGACCTTCGCAGGATATATTAAAGGCAATGAGGTTCGAGGCTAACAGTGAGTAGCATACGTAACTAGTGTAAATGGATGGCAGAAAAGGAATTGGGAGAGGTAGTAAAAAGATAAACATTGCTTAGAGCTACGAAGGATAGAAAGTTGTGGAGAGCCATGAAGGGACACGACCTAAAAGGAAGCGGCAAAGGGAAAACATATTTTTTTCAGAAAGTAAAACTTTCTAAATAGATCATATCTTTTTTTTACCTTAAAAAAACTATTTCCTATATTTTGGATGGATTGATCATTTAATTGTTACAAAAGAACTGGTTTTGTATAAACTTAAGTGACTTTTACAAAAATAAGTGCTGCGAAGATAATACAATGACTCTTTGAATCTTTTTCTGTCGAAGCAACAGATACAAAACTACCAAGTGGAAAAACTGAGCAAGTAAAAGACACGATTAATGTATTTCTTTTTTCTTCAGTAAAACCATTGCAGGCCTTAGCGACTTACTGTTTCGTCCTAGTTCTCTTGAAGACATTTGCCTCCAAGACAATAGATCTTGGAAGGTGCTCGCAGTAGGAATTAGCAACACCTAATTGCACGCAAGAGAGTCATTTTTCAAGAGGCGAATAAGAAGAGATGATCCTCAAACAGTTTTTGCCCGTGGGCTGTGCTTTCAATGAGGGGTTGATGACATCAATTGCATGAATTTCGAAGCATAACGGTCGATTATTTTTATTCCTTTATCTCGCAATAATGTATAAATAACATGTAATGACTTTACTTACACTTATATACACTTGAGGTTTCAGGTTTATTTGACTGCAAAATATCATTTCACGGTGTGAAGACACTGTCTCTTCAGTTGAATGTATTGCCTGCGTCGGCCTGGCTGTGTTTCTTAGAAGTCCTCTGGGCTTTGGTCAAGAGACGTTTGCGCTCACACACATACGCATGCACACACAGCTTCACGGCCGTCTCAAGGTAAACGGATAGAAAACTGAGATAATTTATTTCTAAAGTTGTTCGTCACTTTTTGAAAAAAAAATCTCATGTTTATATCTAATAAAACATAACTTGAGTGAGATCTTTGCGCGCCTCTGTTAATAGAAATATTTTTTAATATTTTTTTCAGATTATTTGTCTTTTATGAATTTTTGATACTGTCTCTAATCTAGAGTATGATTTATGCACTTCTGGAAAAAACCTAACACAATTTTTTCTAGCATTAATGTCAGTCAAATATTTAGTACATTCTTCTGCTTGACTGACGGGTGGACTTGTTTTTTTACGATTTATCAACCCTCCTCTTTGTGTTATTTATAGCCGAAACACATTTTGGATTGTAAGAATAATTTTTTCCCATATTATATATATATATATATATATATATATATATATATATATATATATATATATATATATATATATTATCATTTAAATGTCATTTTAGGGATACCAATATAATATAGCAAGCCTTAAAATATATTTCTTTCATATATATATATATATATATATATATATATATAACCGAATGTAGTGAGAACGAAAATAATATATAAATTCTAAGGTTTAGAGTATTAATTCAAAAGAGGGCTCAATGCTGATTTTGGTTCTCATCAGTCGAGGTGCAACTAAATGCACCGAAACGAAGTTGCATCTTTGTAGCGAGTAAATTGTTTTTGTCTATATGAAAAATTTTTGATAATATATATATATATATATATATATATATATATATATATATATATATATATATAAATTAATTGATTTAAAATATTTTTTTCCGCTACACAGTTCTAACCATGTTTCAGAAGGGGAAGCTAAAAGCCCCGGATTTAATTTTGTAATTTTGCGAATTCGCTTGAGGATGAAATGGAACTAAAGTCTTTAATTTAATTACAAAATTAAATCCGGGGCTTTTAGCTTCCATTTTTGAAACATGGTTAGAACTGTGTAGCGGAAAAAACATATTTTAAATCAATTAATTTATAATATTAATGCTCTGTAAATTTACTTTGAGCACTATTTTGTAAAAATAAGAATATCTATAAGAACACCGGGTTATAAATCTTACTGTTCTTTCTTTTTATTTGTATACATATATATATATATATATATATATATATGTGTGTGTGTGTGTGTGTGTGTGTGTGTGTATATATATATATATATATATATATATATATATATATATATGTATATATATATATGTACGAGCAAATCAATACTCATATATTACAGCCTTTCCACAACTTATATTGTAATAATAATTCTCCTTTTTTTTCGAGTGAACAATTCATGAACGATTTTTTGAAAAATATGATTTTTCTAGATTATAATTCCTGTTTCATGTGAACAGCAAGATGGTTAGGCTAATAAGGAATTAAGTTTATCCTGCCTTATTCCGCTTGAAAATTGAGAGACTGCCCTTAACTATGAGTCCCCATGAAACTTTACGTCACAGAAAGGAAGTCATATCTGAATATTTTTTTTCTTATATTTTCTGAATATTCTTTTCATTATATTGACTCTATTTATATATTTTTTTTCTATATCGAGCACTGTTCTTTTAGCGTCCATGTTTGTTTTATCATATATGATAAATATCTGTGTGTGTGCGTGCACGCGCGTCTAAGATTGTATATGTGAAGCCCAGTTGGATGTTGAAATTATTTTATTCCGTTGCCACCGTTTCATTCAACGAGAAAATCATCAGAAGAGAAAAAAAATCAGAAAAAATCGTTACCTTGGCAACGCTGCTAGTTGGAAACGCAGGAATTAATGTGAATTTTTTTTTTTTGTATATTTAAAATATTTAATAAAATTCAATATAAATATTTGTGAATAAAATAAATATTTAATTTCTCATTGATTTATTCACAAATATTTATTTTTAATTTTATTAATTGTTTTAAATCTAGGAAAAAATTCAAATTAACTACAGCGTTTCTAACTAGTAGGTTTGTCAAGGTAACGATTTTTTTAGATAGATAGATATATAGATATATATATATATATATATAGATAGATAGATAGATAGATAGATAGATAGATAGATAAACAGATATATAGATAGATATGAGCACTCTTTTTTTTCATTACACATCAAGCAAAGCAATAAAGTCACTAAGAAGGAAGGTGTTAGTGAGTGTTAGAGAAAAAACCCAATTAAGAAGAGAGAAAAAAATAATAAAACAGGAATTAAGAAGACACAAGATAACTATTGACATTTCATTTAAAGTTTTAAAGATGAAAGTTGACCGAGAAGTTAAAAGCCGAGAAGTGTAAGAGAAGAAACTGCTAGCATAAAACTTACGGTTGCATCTAACCGTTTCGACTCTAAAATGGCTGAGACCTTGCAGCCAATCTAGTACTGTACTTAAATTCATAAAGTCTAGGTACCATAGAGGAAAGTTCATCAAAACAATTAAAATGAAAGTATTTATAGAAAAGGCATTATGGCGATGGCTGAAGCCAAGATGCCAAGTCAGAACCAGTGACATTGCAGATTCGTCTTTTGAATTTATCAAGAATCTCTAAATATGTAGCAGAAGCAGCTGATGTGGCAGCAGTATTTACAGCGAATGGGATTGGTAGACTTATATCTATGTAAGATAGATTCTGTTGAGAAGAAACTGTCTGGCACAACATAGCGAACCAACGTTCCTAGCAGCAGACCCCAACAATTGATTCAATATAATCTTTTCACTTCATGTCAGAAGGCACTGCGAGTCACTCACCTGGAGGTTAGCATCAACCATGCTGATTGAAGGTAAAAAGGATTATCTCAGATTATTAAAAGAGAGTAAGTACATTTCGGAGGCATTAAAATTAACAAGCTATTCCTTGTCCCAGTTAACAACAAGATGTAGATTGTTTTAGATCAGCTACAATTTTGACCTTATCGAACCGCCAGACTTATTAATGAGACAGGAATAAATGGTTGTGCCATCAGCATAGATACCGATATACATGAGGTATGACGTTGATGGAAATTAGGAAGAATGTGGGTCCAAGAATATAGCATTGAATTACGCGTACATTAACGCAAAAAGATCTAAAAGAGTAGCCGTTCAAGATATTTTTCATTTGAAGATTCGACTGAATAAGTTCAAAAATTCATCCAGAAATACCATAACCTTTCACTTCGTGAAGAAGACCAATATGCTAAACCCTGTCAAATATATTTGAGAAATCTAAAGCAACACAATTCC